AAAGCAAATGTTTTGAGAATGATGATGGCAATAAATGTACAAATGTGCTTGACACAATGAATGTATATATGGATTGTGATAAGAATTGTATGAGCCCCCAATCAAATGATTTTTAAAAAAAGAAAAATAGGGAAACATACACATATGTACACACACATTTTTTTAATTTGTCTACAATTTCCTTGAGCAGTAAAATTGGCCAAGTCCACTCACATTCAGCAAGGCACGGATTCAAACCAGATGCTTTCCCAAAGATCAGCTGCTCCAAGTGATATGTCTAATCCTAGTTCACACATTCACAAAGGCGTGTGTTGAAAGCTCCGACCATTTTAAGAACTTTAGGTGTCAAAGTTGTGAGATCCTTTGACATGGTGTGGAGTCGTGGAGCTGAATCCATCACACTCGATAGAGAGAAGGCATTTCTTATATGCTAAACACGTTGCAGGTACAATAAAATAAATAATGAAATAATCAATATTCTAGAATCAGAGAAGTCTACATATTCATCATTTCACACTTGAGCAAACAAGTGGGCTAAGAGCAGAGAAATACTTCTTATGCTCTTTCATCGCACTACAGTGAGACAGAACCTTTTAAAGTGTCAGATTGTGAGGGACATTTCGTATTATGATCATTATAACTAATTTGGATTGCTCACCTCAAACAAACACACCAGCCACTCTACAGGAGAAAAATGAGGCTGTCTACTCCCAGAAAGACTTTCAGTCTCAGAAACCTTGTATCCGGTCACTATGAGTCTCAATTGAATCAATGGCAATGGAGTATTACTAATTATAATAAATTTTCTTTCTGTAATGCTTTATATTCATTTATTTGTATTTAAAATACTCCATATATTGAACATATGAGGAAATATGAGGACACTTCCAAAAGTGCCTGACAAAAGAGGATTTTAAAAATAATGGAACTTTTCCATGCGCTTTTTGAAATGCCCTCACAAATACGGGTTGCCCCCCAAATGGGAAGGAAGTCTGCTCTTAACTGTGTTTTTAACGTCTTAAAGTGGCACTTTAGTTCAGTCAGAACAGCTGGGTACAGTCCTTAGTTAGCCTTACTTTAGTCCCTAGGATCCCAAATTTGTCTGATCACTGGAAACACCTGGTTGTCTGGTGAAAGGACAGATCTCTGAGCACCACGTGTAACCTAATGAATCAGGATCTCTAGGAGGAGGCTTGCACCAAATCGCCAGATGATTCCAGTGACGTTTGGGAGCCTAGCCTTTTGTGCAAGAAATTATTTAAAATCCTTGTCAGTTATTTTAGAAACTGCAAGTGCAACCCCTGAAGGTGATTGTGATGAGGAATTTGTACAAGTAGAGCTGGTTCAATTGATTCAAAATTGGGTAAATTTACATAAAGTTAAAGAGCAAGTAGGGGTTATATATAAATCAGATATTCATCATGGCCTGCAGAAGCTAAGTGCCTTATCAAAATCACAAACCTTGTGATTTTGTGATTCGCCTTAGGTACTATCCAACATTTTTGTTCAACGTTTATAACAATCATGTCTTTTTTTCCTTTTATTAGTTCTTTTATATATTAAAATGAAACCATGTTCTTGGAGAATAGACTGTAAAGATCACAGTTTGTTACTTATTTTTCAAATAAACAGTAACTGGTGTCTTCAGGGAGAACCAACATTAAAGTTCAGTAACCAGCATCCTCTCACCATGTCCTCCAGAAGAATGAATACATCCAGCAGAGACACCACCAGCTCCGTTAGCCACTTCATCCTCCTGGGCTTTCCCTCAAGCCCTGAAAGGCAGCTCCTCTACTTTGGGCTCTTCTCGGTGACCTACACGCTGACCCTGATGGGGAACGCGGCCATAGCCTGTGCTGTGCGGTGGGACCGACGTCTGCACATCCCGATGTACATATTCTTGGGGAATTTCTCTTTCCTGGAAATATGTTATGTCACCACCACAGTCCCTAACATGCTGGCCAACTTCCTCTCCACACGCAAGTCCATCTCTTTTGTGAGTTGTTTTGTACAATTCTACTTCTTCTTCTCTTTTGGGTGTGATGAGGGCTTCTACCTATGCATCATGGCCTTTGACAGGTACCTGGCCATCTGCCGTCCTCTACATTATCCACGCATCATGACTAAAGAGCTGTACACTGGCCTTATCATCTTTGGGTGGTCTTGTGGACCTATCCTTTTTCTAACCCCAGTCATGCTTATTTCACAATTGCCCTATTGTGGTCCAAACATCATCGACCATTTTATGTGTGATCCTGTGCCATTGATGATGCTGTCCTGTTCTGAAGACACCACCACGCAGTTTGTTTACTCTACTTTCAATACTATCTTCATGGTAGGTACCTTTCTCTTCATTCTTTGCTCCTATGTACTGGTGATTCTGGCTGTGCTCCGGATGCCCTCAGCGGCAAGCAAACACAAGGCTTTCTCCACTTGTGCTTCTCATCTGGCTGTGGTGGTCCTGTTTTTTGGCTCTGTTATGGTGATGTACGTTAGCCCTGGATCAGGACATCCAGTAGAGCTTCAAAAAATTGTTACCTTATTTTACTCTGTGATAACGCCCCTTTGTAATCCTTTAATTTATAGTCTCAGGAACAAGGAGATGAAGGCTGCCCTAAGGAAAGTGTTTGGGACTGAAAAACTTGTTCATAAAACATAAATGCCTCAGTGTGGCGGGATCAGATCGGGTGCAATTCCCACACTGTGTCTCTGGTGTTGTCCTCCGCAGGGCCATGGGTCAGTGAGGGGCATCATGTCTCATAGTGGGGCTGGCCATG